CCATAACAAACTAGCCTGCCTAACACTATAGCCTTGCCCTGGATCGAAACAACATCACTAACCTACCCCAAACAATAAAAAATAGGTTAACTGTTAACCCTAACAATCTAGACTATCATGTTACACCAACTGTGCTCACTGACCCTACACCGAAACCAATTCATGCATCTGCCTCTTCACCACGCTTCCTTTTCACTATTGTGTATCCCTGGAAGATGTCTCAGTGGCAGAGGAAGGGGGAAGTCATTAATTGCGAAAGGGAGTTGATCCGTTCAGGGGTGTTTCCTTTTGATGCGACTCCACACGGTGATTTAAACTTTAAGGACCTTCAAAAACAGGTGTGATCACCTTTTTTTCCTATTACATTTGTATTTTTTTGTTGGTGGCGAGGAGGTTAATAATTTAGCGGGCAATGACGGAAGCCATCCGCGCCTTGGCAGAGTAAGAAGCGTGCACGCGAGACGTAATTTCGGGCGAGCGAACAAAAGATAATTCCAGAAGCATCAATTATGGCGCATTGTATGTATCGCATTGATTTATCAGCAATTACCGATTGAAGCTGAGTGAATGTGAACGGTAAATTCGGAGGGACAAAATGGCAGCCACGGTATACATTTGCGAAGCTTCAATCCAGGAGGTATTATACCGTGCATGTCCTCGCCAGATATGCTTTAGCATTAATATAAATACATCAACAAACTTTAACAAAACTAGCCACCCAAACACCCTCGCAAACCAGCTGGCCCAGCCCCCCCCCCCCCCCCCCCCCCGAGCACAAACCTGACCTCTGACCCTAGCTTGCCCCTGGGTATCGCCAATGTCAGGCCTCCTTTACACACTTGTTGTTTGCGTTTTCACTTTGAGTTTTTAACCCCTGGAGATTTGAGCCTCAAAATTTATTTTTTGACGGGAAGCTCCTGCAACTGGGATGACGTTTGGCCAATTACTCCTCACTAGTCGCTGGCACGCGAGAGGAAACTGGAGTGCGCAGATAAAACCGGACGCATGTGACATAATGACACTGAGGAGGTCCCTACAGAGTTACTCCAAAAGGCAGGCCAAATACAATCTATATTCATGTGGACTGAACTCAGAGCTGTGCTGCGATGTCCTCTCCACCTCGTAGCCTGCAGTATTCTTGCCGAAAGGTACCAGCCACCCTGCCGCCCAATAAAGACAAAGATTCCCCGTATAGCTTTAGCAGACTTCTTAAGCACGTGCTGTCAAAGCGAGCACCCACCAAGGCACAAGAGGTGGTGGGTGGCCAGCACCAAACCCGGCCGCCTATGTCTACCTAGTAGCAATGATTACACACTGCACCAGGTACTCATTTGAGACAGAGTCGACCTTGAGGAGACCCAGGACTGGCTTAGATATTGATCACTGGTGTTGGTCGTGAGCAGGAATCGAACACGTGGTCGCCTGGTTCGTAGCGCAGTGCGCCAAACCGCTGCACGAGCGCCCCGCGCACACCACCCGCAAGTTACAAAATCCATTTTACGTGACCCAGAATTATCGAACTTGTTTGAATAGATTGCGCCAAAATGCCAATGATTGTGAAACAGGTAGGACCTGTTAGTATTCCTAGCGACTGGCTACTGTTTCACGGCTCAATGACTGCACGTGTTTGTTTTCATAGCAACATCTGTCAATTGTGAAAGTTTAATGTTTCCCGAGGGCTTCCTGGCAAGATTTCAGGAGCCAATAGTTTTGTTGCCAAAGTTGCCGCGACTCGCTACGCACGGCGATGCCTGCTCCTCCTCCTCGCCTCTTGGCAGCAACTTCGTGCGAATTAATCGTACGCAAATCGAGACGAAAACAATTAATACTCCTACTACTAATACCGTTGCCAATGATGCGTTCGTGGCAAGCGTCTGTGCGCAATGAAGCCGTTCCTACCAAGCCGCAAGGCCGAATGGGGCAGTTAAAGTACATTAGCATATTCTCCGGCTTATAAAAAGGACACCTTCTTTGTTCCTGTCAAAAGCTACATTGGACGGTGCGTCTAATAATCCTGTGACCAAGTCTTTATAATTTAATTGACACCGGACTCAACTTTTTGTTTGGGGGGAAGGGTGCGTCTGTCTGCATCGTCGTATGAAAACCAGGAAAATACGGTACTTCATAACAACAAAACCACGTGCACACTGCTTGCTCGATCCACTGCTGGATTGTTAATACCATAGTTCACCACGTTTGGCGCGTGCGGGTTGAAGTGGGCAGGGGATCCCAGGGCGTGTTCAAATAAAGCACTCACCGCTGATGTCAGCCGTGGCCCTGAAATCAAACTCCTCGAGTAGTCGGGTTCACAGCGTACGACTCATCCAATAGCGCACAGAAATCATACAGTCGTGAACACAACAACAATTACAGCATCCACTGGTCAATATATTCTAAGATGGGGGCCTCGCCGCAACGTTTTTGGTCTGATGGATTGTTTGAGTCTACTTCACTACGCTGGTCATGTCGGGTTGGTTAAGGGGGGAAAGGTTGGGATGGTGGTGAAGGGATTTGGGGGGGGGGGGGAAGAGGGGGCAGCGCTAGGTCCACTACAGATATGATTCACCACTGATGAGAGCCGTGACTTTGGGAGCAAACTCTATGTCGCCGGGTTCATAGCGCAATCCCCAAACTCAACACACTGTGCCTCACCAGTCCACCGGGGTACATTTACAGAGCGTGACAATATACCAAAATGCCCTCTCCTGCACGTTGCATAACCGAATTCTGCCGCGGACAGCGAGCAATTTAGTGGCGCAATCTTTCCGAAATGTCATCTTCTCCTGCAGCGAGGCAATTATCTGGGACGCGCGTGTCCCCGCGGGGTGCGTCTCCCGAGGTGGCGCTGACGTTTCGGGGCGAGCCCCGCGGATTCTGGGCCGTACGGTGAAGGAGGAGGAGCGGGGGAGCTCGGATGGCCGGAGCACGGAACGGAATTGAATGCAGAGCGACACTCATGATCCCTGTAGTAAACAATAATGACGATAACGTCGTGGTATTTTATAGGGTTCATGAAGCCATCGGTGGCAGGGTTCGATTCCCCCATCGACCGATGGCAGTGGTTGAATCGATGGCGCTGGCAGGATTCTTAAATCCTGCCACCGCTGGCTCGTATCCACCCACCAGTGTAAATGGCTACCTCGCGACAGTTAATTAAATCGGCAGGTCACGTCCGATGGAGGTAAAATGCGGGTACTCCCAACCCCTTCCAAGAAGTACTGGCCATCGTGAAGGAGTCGGCCAAATGGGTGTATGTTGAACTTATTTCGCACCGTATGAGGCCAACCGTGCTAATCGAGGTGCAAGGGGGGGGGGGGGGGGCAAACTAAACTCAAAAAGCAGTTCTAAAGGAATGAGTTTGTCAATCTCGACGATGATTTAAAAGTGTACAGCTCCGGTGGCTTCCCAATATCGGAAGGAAGAGCGTTCCAGACGTCCAGAGAGGGTGTCATCCGAAAGCGTGCAATGGTCAGCCAACAGCCACCGCCGCTGCTGCGAGGATGATCCGAGTTGGCGTGATGGTTCAAGCTCCTCGTCGACACGTCCACGTCGATCTGCGAGGTCTGCTCCTGCTCACCTCCAACTATCATCCATCGACGAGTCGATTGTTACCCTCACGCGCGCGAGCTGCGCCGTCAACCCGGGGCCGCACAGACCGACGACTCGGCTTGCATTAACAATGACTGCATGGGCATCGCTATAACCACCACCCCCCCCCCCCCCCCCCCCCCCCGAGGAGATAACGGGGAACGAAATGAATTGAACAAGAAGGAACGATACAAAACGAAAGCGTGCGAATTAGTAAAAAACAATCTATTACTTAGATCGTGACGATACAAATAATAATAATAGATCACAACGTTTCGATCGCAACACAAGCGGTCGTCCTCAGCATTGTGTTGCGATCGAAACATCGTGATCTATTATTATTTTTTCTACCTACGTGACTTTACCGAAAGAACCAAAGAGTATGGATTCCTGCAGTCACGAAAGCTTCAAATCAAGATTCGTGAGGATACAATTAATCGAATCGTGTTGGTGCGATTGAGAATCGTTAGCTACTGGATTCCTCCTTCCCCCCACCTCAAATGGTATCGGCATACAGTCCAATGCATCCAAAACTCACTCCGATTGTTCAAACTGTTCTACAGCTAGCTCGGAACGTAGACACGGTAGTCCACACGAGGCAATGATCGAGTCTGCGCTATATGTGTTTGTGTTTACATGTGCCGAGATCTCTGGTGGATGAGACGCAGTCCCTGCTCAGCCAGCGCCTTCGTGACCATTCAGAACGGTTGTTGCATCGCCACGGCGTGTGGAGGCGGGGGGGGGGGGGGGGTCAGAGGCCTCCGCCGTGGGACGACGGCCGAGCAGGGGCGAGTGTGGCGAGACGAGCGTGGAGGAGCGATACGGCGTGTGGCGACTTGGGCGAGGAGAGGCGTGGGAGGGGGGGGGGTGTGAGAGACGAGGAAGATGATGATGAGACGAGGATGACGGACGACGAGGAGGAGGACGCGGGTGAAGAGAGACCGGGAAATGAGGCGAGGGTCAGCAGAGACGGGTGAAGAGGCGAGACGAGCGTGGAGGAGCGATATAAGGTGTGCAGAATCTGGCGAGGGAACGTCAGATGGGTGATCAGAGAGACGGAGCGGGCTGGGGAGGGGGGTTGAGAGAAATCGTGGTGCAGCAGAGACGAGGACGAGGAGAGACGGAGGGAGGCAGACACGGGTGAAGAGAGACGGACAATGGGACCGGGGGGTTTGCAGAGACGGGTGAACGGGGAAGAGCAAGGATAACCCCACGGAGAGCCGCTCAATGGAAATAGTGGACCGTGTCGCTGTGATAACGTTGGTAATAGAGGCGGGGGGGGGGGGTGGCACGCAGCAGACTGTTGACTGGGGGGGGAGGGGGGATAACGGACAGAGGGAGGGAGAGACGAGTGGGTGGGTAGTTGGGAGAGGGGTTGATGGGGGGGGGGTCTTGTCGAGGTGTCGTGATGGTGGTGGTGGACGGGGTGGGGAGCTCGCGAGGGAGAGGAGAGAGGGTGACGCGTTGTGGTCGTTCTCTCGTTCCCCTGGCTCGTAGCTACCACTCCATTGGCTCGGTGGCTCCGTGACGCGACAGCGTGGCTCTTCTTTTTATCCAGAGAGCACCGCTTGTGCATTTCCACACCACACACGCGCACATGCTCGGGTAGCGGTCGAGCGCTCCCCTCGCCGGCGCCACAACTCCGCCGCTAACGAAGCTTCACGGGCAGCACGCACCAGCGAGCCCTCTCGCGCTTATAACCAGACGCGCTCACACACACACATGCCACTGCCGCCGCTTAATAGATCTGCGCACGACCTTCCCTTCATAGCCGTCCTCTCCTGCCACCGCGATGCGCAAGCCCTGGCTGCCAGATGCTGTCGCGTCAAGCCTTGAAGGAAAGGGATAATAATAATAAGGTTTTCCCCATGCCACGTGGAGGAGTCGCCCGCTGCCCACGTGCCACCCAGATGCCAAGAGCGGCGGCGGTGACGCGAGGCGGCGCACGGGATGGGCTGCGCTTGGGTCAAACAGCGACGTTAAAGACCGCGGCGGCATCGCTCTGTGTCCCATCGTCCTGGCTGCGCATTGGAGGGAGCTCCACGTAGGAGCGAGAGCACGAAGAGAGACAGAAAGCATCGTAGACACGGAGAGGAGGAGGAGGGAGGGGAGGAGCAGGAGGGCACTGGGGGAGCCCCATCCGACATCGCGTTCGTCCCATCATCGCCACCTGTCGCGTCGGACGAGGCGCAGCGAGGTGAGTCCATTGTCTTCAAGGTCGGAATTTTCCTGGCACCGGTGATTAAATTAATAAATGCATTACTTCGTCGATCCGAGGTGAGCAACTTAGCAACGCCGCGGATCGCGCTTCCTGCGCCGCCGGTAACACCTGTTGTCGTGAGCGAGCGCGCCTCGATCGCTCGCTCTCTCTCTCTGCACTACGCGCGTTCCGACAAATTCAAGGGCGATTTCAAAATTCGGACAGAGTTTAATCGCAGTTGATCTACGCACCGATTTCGCTCGTCGAACACAAAACACATTAAAAGCGAAAATGCCGTGGGTACTAGCTCGAGATGAGCGTAGCTCGTAAGCGTCTACAACCGCGCGTAAATCACTGTCCTTGTTAATACAATTCTGGGACCTGAACGAAGCTCACCTACCCTCAACGCTGTGTGGGTCATGGGTGCTGTATAACCATACTTCACCAATCTGGTCAGTGCGGGTTGGTGTAGGCAGTTGGGAGTGCGGGGGCGGGGGTGGGTAGTTAAAGGTGTAAGTAACCAGGACCGTTTTAGATATCACTCCGAACCGGTTGTGGACCGCCCGCCACGAAAATTACGCGTGGCCAGAAATTGAACTCTGCGAACCGGGTTCATTACGCAGCATCCATCGCTCTCTCTGCGACCAGCGAGTCACGAATAACGATTAATTAACCACCACACTGCACATTAATACACCGGCTTTATGGGATCGGAGACGTTAATGCGTTCATAGAAGCGCACAATCCTCGCAGCCGACAGGCAATGTTCCGTCTACCGCTGATGGCCTTGGCGCATTGGGACGCGCGCGTTTACGTATGTGTGGAGCGGTCGTGTAGCGGTTATCGCTTCTGCGCTATGAACCCAGCGACCCGAGTTCGATTCCCGCTAACGGCCAGCCAATACCAGGAGAAGATTATCTGAACCGATCCTGGGCTTTCCCCTACGTCGAATCGGCCTCAAATGAGTGCGGTGGTGTAAACATCGCAACGAGGGAGGCGAAGGCGGCCGGGCGTGGTGCCGGCCACTCGCCCCTTCTTCGTGTGCCGTGCCGGCCTTCATTAGGCGCTACTCGCTAACAGCCCTTGTTTCAAAATAAACAACGTCTGTGAGGCTATACGGGGGAGGGGATCTTGCCTTGCGTGGCGGGACACTCGGAGGTCGCGCCGGACCTGGGTAGCCCCGCATGGAGATCTGGTGGGACCTCTCTTCGCGGGGGGTGGGGGGGGGGATGGGTGGGTGGATCCCATTGGCTATTGATCGATGATGACTTGCATAGTGTGTGCGGGTCTGTACATTAGGGTGATTAACGACTCTCCCACCCCCCCCCCCCCCTCCAGCTCGTTAATGCCTCGCCACGAGGAGAAACCGATTTGCTGTAAACAGCGTCGATCTAACGGGAGCCTGAGATCGATACGATCGTGCATTCGTCAAATGTAAGCAACTGAAGAGAACGTGTAAATTATCGGAGGAGGCGTTTCATGGAAATATTAAAGTACCGTTATGTATTTGTTTGCTCATTGTTTAAGCGTAAACCGTCGTAAATGGTAACAGTACGTCGCTGTCTAAAGTGGTAATTGCTAATATGATGATGGTGATGTGCAGCTCCCTTAAGTAAATCTGCTGGGCGAATGCCCTCCCCACGCAGTGTTAGTCGTGGAGTGGTGTGTGGTGGGGATAGTCGTGGAGTGGTGTGTGGTGGGAAAGTCGTGGAGTGGTGTGTGGTGGGATAGTCATGGAGTGGTGTGTGGTGGGGATAGTCGTGGAGTGGTGTGTGGTGGGAAAGTCGTGGAGTGGTGTGTGGTGGGATAGTCATGGAGTGGTGTGTGGTGGGGATAGTCGTGGAGTGGTGTGTGGTGGGAAAGTCGTGGAGTGGTGTGTGGTGGGGATAGTCGTGGAGTGGTGTGTGGTGGGAAAGTCGTGGAGTGGTGTGTGGTGGGGATAGTCGTGGAGTGGTGTGTGGTGGGAAAGTCGTGGAGTGGTGTGTGGTGGGGATAGTCGTGGAGTGGTGTGTGGTGGGGATAGTCGTGGAGTGGTGTGTGGTGGGGATAGTCTTGGAGTGGTGTGTGGTGGGGATAGTCGTGGAGTGGTGTGTGGTGGGGATAGTCTTGGAGTGGTGTGTGGTGGAGATAGTCGTGGAGTGGTGTGTGGTGGGGATAGTCGTGGAGTGATGTGTGGTAGGGATAGTCGTGGAGTGGTGTGTGGCGGGGATAGTCGTGGAGTGGTGTGTGGCGGGGATAGTCGTGGAGTGGTGTGTGGTGGGGATAGTCGTGGAGTGGTGTGTGGTGGGATAGTCGTGGAGTGGTGTGTGGTGGGATAGTCGTGGAGTGGTGTGTGGTGGGATAGTCGTGGAGTGGTGTGTGGTGGGAAAGTCGTGGAGTGGTCTGTGGTGGGGATAGTCGTGGAGTGGTGTGTGGTGGGGATAGTCGTGGAGTGGTGTGTGGTGGGATAGTCGTGGAGTGGTGTGTGGTGGGGATAGTCGTGGAGTGGTGTGTGGTGGGGATAGTCGTGGAGTGGTGTGTGGTGGGAAAGTCGTGGAGTGGTCTGTGGTGGGGATAGTCGTGGAGTGGTGTGTGGTGGGGATAGTCGTGGAGTGGTGTGTGGTGGGGATAGTCGTGGAGTGATGTGTGGTAGGGATAGTCGTGGAGTGGTGTGTGGCGGGGATAGTCGTGGAGTGGTGTGTGGTGGGATAGTCGTGGAGTGGTGTGTGGTGGGGATAGTCGTGGAGTGGTGTGTGGTGGGGATAGTCGTGGAGTGGTGTGTGGTGGGGATAGTCGTGGAGTGATGTGTGGTAGGGATAGTCGTGGAGTGGTGTGTGGCGGGGATAGTCGTGGAGTGGTGTGTGGTGGGATAGTCGTGGAGTGGTGTGTAGTGGGGATAGTCGTGGAGTGGTGTGTGGTGGGGATAGTCGTGGAGTGGTGTGTGGTGGGGATAGTCGTGGAGTGGTGTGTGGTGGGATAGTCGTGGAGTGGTGTGTGGTGGGGATAGTCGTGGAGTGGTGTGTGGCGGGGATAGTCGTGGAGTGGTGTGTGGTGGGATAGTCGTGGAGTGGTGTGTGGTGGGGATAGTCGTGGAGTGGTGTGTGGCGGGGATAGTCGTGGAGTGGTGTGTGGTGGGATAGTCGTGGAGTGGTGTGTGGTGGGGATAGTCGTGGAGTGGTGTGTGGTGGGGATAGTCGTGGAGTGGTGTGTGGTGGGAAAGTCGTGGAGTGGTGTGTGGTGGGGATAGCCGTGGAGTGGTGTGTGGTGGGGATAGCCGTGGAGTGGTGTGTGGTGGGATCGTAGGAGATGGTTCGACCATACTTCACCACGGTGGTCAGTGCGTGGTTGATAAAGGTGGGGGGGGGGGGGGGGTGACCCACAACAAGACGTGTTTAGATATCGCTGGACACTTGATGATAGCCGTGGTCGGGAATCGAACTCAAGCGTGACCGGCTTCATTGGGCGCATTAGCGCCGATTGCTGCGCCACCGTTCCATCCACCCCCCCCCCCATTTAATATGCAGGCTCAGATCAATTTTATCAATGTATTATTTCACCTATTTATAACATTTGCGAGACTTTGTGGAATTAGGCGAGCGTACGATTAGTTACAACATCTATGCGAGTAATAAATAAGAAAAAAAATCCGTGATTACCCAGCATTTTTGTGCAGTTTCCTGTCAGTGTATTAAAAAAGAGGTCAATTTGAGTTAGGGCTGCCGTGCTCTGGAATAGGGACGTGGTTTGTACGCAGTGGCATTTACGTTCCTGAGAACAATCAAACGTATCGAAAAGGCATCCAAAACAGACAATCTGCCGGTGGAGCTTAACCGAAATGGGGAATATTTTTCAGACAATTTTAACCTTCATTTTTCTGAAGCTGGTAATCTTTTTGATAATGTATTGGGAGTCACCCCTGCTCATGCAAATTCCTACACCCCTGTCCAAACATTAAACGAATTTAGTTTCCAGCCAATCCACGAAAGTAATGTTCTGAAACAACTGTCCTATCTCAAAGGGTCCTCCTCTACCGGAGCAGATAGTATTCCCGTCTTTGCTCTACTAACTGTTGGTCACCTAATATACAAACCTATAGCCCATATTTTCAACCTGTCCATCAAAGAAGCATCAATTCCTCTAGAATGGAAACATTCCTATGTTCGTCCACTTCACAAAGGGGGCCCTAAAGATGATCCAAATAACTACCGACCTATCTCAATTTTGTCCCCGTTGATGATTTTTTTTTTATTATTGACCTACCAAATTAGCAGTTTCCTGTCCACCAACAATCTACTACATCTAAAACAATCTGGGTTCCGAAAAAAATACAGCACCACATCTGCTGCATTAGACTCTCTGAATCACATTTACAGTAGCCTTAATAATAAGCAGTACTGTGCCTGTCTTTTTCTAGACCTGTCCAAAGCATTTGATACAGTAGACCACAACACCCTGCTTAGTAAACTAAGTTGCCTCGGTTTTTCCGAAAACGCAGTAAAATGGTTACAAAATTACCTCTTTTCTCGCACCCAACCTGTAGTCACAGATGGTTGGAGGTCAAGCAATGTTAAGATAACAAAAGGGGTTCCACAGGGTTCCATCCTCGGCCCCCTTTTGTTCTCTCGTTATGTCAATGACTTGGGCACTGACCTGGATCATTCCAGGGTAAATCTTTTTGCAGATGACACGATACTGATTCCTACTGGCCGCTCTCCGGATGACGTGATTGCTAAGCTACAGGGTGATTTCAACAAACTACAACATCAGCTAGTTGCTCTTAAACTAGTCCTGAATACCTCCAAAACCAAGGTGCTATGCTTCTCACCAGGACTAAAGCAGGAAGTCATTTTTCCCCAATTACATTCCTTAAATAATTATCAAATAGAGCAAGTCAAGATCTATAAGTATCTTGGGGTCATCTGGATTCAAAACTGAATTTTAAAGATCACATTGATTATATTGGTAAAAAGACAAAAAAAAATTGGTTTTCCTTATCGACACAAGCATTGATTCCCCCCAATGTTCCGTTTGGAATGATAAAAGCTACCATACTGCCTCTACTTGACTACTGTGACTGCAGTCACGAAAGCTTTAAATCAAAATTTACTGTGACATCGTGTATAAATCAGCCCCAAGTACTGTAGTGAAGAAGCTTGATTCTATCTATCACTCGGCCTTAAGATTGAACTGCCCATATAGGACTCACCACTGATCTCTACATTGGGTGAAACTTAACATCTCTTAATGTTCGACGGCTTGTGCACCAGATCTATTTATTCACGATGTACTTACAAAAAAATCCGCAGACTACCTGCTGGATCTCCTCTCTGTTTCAAAGAACAAATTTGACCTCAGGTCTTCGCTCATTTACCAGCTTCACATTCCCTATTGCCGTACAAAAACTGGAGGAAGGGCCTTTGCTATTGATGCCCCCAGGGTCTGGAATGCTATTGCCAATAAACTGCAACTGGAATCGCTACCAATGAGATCTTCTCTCAAAACTGCTCTAGAGGGGTTGTACACCCCTAGATGCCACTGCTATTCATTGGCATAAAGTAAAATAAAATGTTTCGCTCCGGATGACGCTGCAAAGCATCATCTGTTTTTTTTTTTATTTAGCGTTGTGATCTTAAATGTGCATTGAAAAATTTGATACTCCGACTGATGCTTCTGTTGTTATGGAGTAACTCATGCAGCCAGCTATGGCTCTAGGATTTGGTGTTGCATGTTATTTATGTAGTTTATTGTAAAAATTCGGTCACAGTCCCTGTGTTCACTGTTACATTGCAATTATGGCTTTATTTTTGGTGATTTCAAAACGTTTTTTTGTTTGGACATGTTTGTTTTGTTGTAGTACGGAGTTAGACTGATGGCCTTAATCTAAGTTTTATTGTGGTTGCTGTTTTTGTTTGACTTGCATCCCACTGGGATTTTTTGCACACAGCGTTGGTGTACAGTGCTTTTTTTCAGGAATATTTTGATGTTTTTTTTCATGGATTTTCTGTTTGCACAGTCACATAGTCACTTTAAGATGTTTTTCTTGTTCGTGTTTTTGTTTGTTTGTTTGTTGTGGCTGCACCCGATTCAAGAGCCGAATGGCTCACAGGGCTATACCAAAATAAATAAACTGAAACTGAAAAGGGGCATCTTAAGAAGTTTTTTCTTGGACCCTCCCCATTGTGGGACCCCCCCCCCCCCCCACCACCTCCACCTCCCCACCCCCCCCCAGCCACCACTACCCAACCTTCTCTCCCCCCCAGGTCGTTTCGGCGCTAATACAAGTATTTGGTGCGCGCGTGTGAACATCAGAACGGTGGGAAAACAAAGGCAGCCGCAGAACGTTGCACTTCTCGCACGGAGTGCTTGCGTTTGTTTAACGAGTGTTTTGCAAACGGCACTTGCCTCAACAGTCTACTGTATACGGCTAAACGCAGCATCTCGTGTGTGCGTATGCGCCCTGTGAGAATCTAAATAAATCGGGAAATGTGCGTGTCGCTGTGGCTGTGTGAATGTTCATCTTTGAATTGTGTGCACGTGTCGCTCTATGGCTCTGCGCATCTGCACATGTGCACGTGCGCGCGCGCGTGCGTATGTGTGTCTGGGGAGCGGTAGTGTAGTGGTTAGCGCACTGCGCTACGAACCCGGCGTTCGATGCCCGCTCAGTCAACATTAGTGCCGCACATCTGAACCGGAGCTGGGCCTCCCCTAGCTTAACTCAGCCTGAAATTAGTAGTGGTGTGGTGTGTAAGCGCCAGCACTGGGAAGACAAAGGCGGCCAGGTGTAATATTTAGCCACACCATCCCCTCGTGGGCTGTGCTGGACAAACTTAGTGTTCGCGAACAGCACGTGCCCCAACAGCCTGTTCAAGCTATCGTGGGGATGTTCGTCTTTGTTTTGTGTGTGTGTATTTATATATCTGAATGTGCTTGTGTGTGCTCGCTAACATAACTTGCCCCGGCATTCCGTTAAAGGCCATACCGAGAGATATTTGTCCTTGCTGTCATTTGTACTGGCTTGCCTAGGGTCATTGGAGTCCGTTGTACTCAACCCCCGGCGCTTGCCCGGGCCTCAAAGAGCTCTGCCAGCACCATGGACAGCGACGCGCTCCACAACGCATCGGGCGCGAATTCGACCAACGCGACCTCGCCGAGCGGCGACGCCGCCTACAGCAGCAACTTCAACAAGACCGTGGAGGAGGTGCTCATCGCCATAGTGGCCGGCTCGCTGAGCCTTGTCACGGTGGTGGGCAACATCCTGGTGATGCTCTCCATCAAGGTCAACAGGCAGCTCAAGACGGTCAACAATTACTTCCTCTTCAGCCTGGCATGCGCGGACTTTTTCATCGGCGCGTTTTCCATGAACCTCTACACCATGTACATCATCGTGGGCGAGTGGCCGCTCGGCGCGGTCGTGTGCGACCTGTGGCTCGCTCTGGATTACGTGGTGAGCAACGCGTCCGTCATGAACCTGCTCATCATCAGCTTCGACCGCTACTTCTGCGTGACCAAACCATTGTCATACCCGGCCAGGAGGACGACAAAAATGGCCGGGCTCATGATTGCCGCGGCGTGGATCCTCTCGTTCATCCTGTGGGCGCCGGCTATTCTCTTTTGGCAGTTCATCGTGGGCAAGAGGACGGTGCCAGAGAAGGAGTGCTCCATTCAGTTCCTCTCGAACCCCGTGGTGACCTTCGGCACGGCCATCGCGGCCTTCTACCTGCCCGTGGTCATCATGACAGTGCTGTACATCCACATCTCGTACGCGAGCAAGAGCCGCGTGAGGAGAGAGCACAAGAGGGAGAACAAGAAAGAGCGGCAGCCCAGGTTCGCCATCTTCACCAAGTGCAGGTTGTTCCGCAAAAACAACGGCGAGCCCACCGCCACGGCCAACGCCGTTAACGCCGCTAACGCCGCTAACGCCGCCGCCGCTGCCACCGCCGCCGCCGCCGCCATCGCCACCGCAGCCGCGATGAACAACGCCAGCAGCGTCCGTCCCGAGCAGGGGAAGTTCAAGAACGGGACGGTGGAGTGCAACGAGGGCGACAAGGGCGCGGAGTTGGAGGAGAAGGACCTCTCCAACGAGTCCACGTCCCTGAGCGTCGTGCCCTCTCATCACAAGGACGAGCTGGGGAACGATGTGCTTCAGCAGCTGCCCAACTGCAGCGGCGCAAAGCCGCTCAGAAAGCCATCTCCGTCGAAGGCGACCAAAGTAAAAGTCGTCACGAAAGCGGAGGGTGCCGACGGCCGCTCCACGCGGGTGCAGCTGGTGCAGGCCGACGGCACCGCTGCTGGCGCCGGCAGCGTTGAAGGAGGAGGGGGCGGCAGTGGTAGCGCAGGAGACGGCGATTCGAAGTCCGCCGAGAGCAAACAGAAGGTGACGGTGGCGGCGGCAGCGGCGGCGGCGGCTGCGGCGGCGCCGCCCGTGGCGAGGAAGTTCGCCAACATCGCCAGGAGCCAAGTGCGCAAGCGGCGGCAGGCGGCGGCGCGCGAGAAGAAAGTGACGCGGACCATCTTCGCCATCCTGCTGGCCTTCATCATCACGTGGACGCCATACAACGTGATGGTGCTCATCAACACGTTCTGCAGCTCGTGCGTGCCCAACACCGTCTGGATAATCGGCTACTGGCTGTGTTACATCAACAGCACCATCAACCCGGCGTGCTATGCGCTCTGCAACGCCACTTTCAAAAAGACGTTCAAGCACCTGTTGCTGTGCCAGTACAAAAACATCGGGCAGGCCAGATGAGGGGGGGGGGGGGGGGGGGGGGGGGGGGTTGGACGCGAGGTCGTTGGCGAGAGATTCAATCTGGAGCGAGGCGCCCCCCATCTCTCTCCCACGTGCTCTCTCTTTCTCTTTTTGCACCCCTCCCCCGCTCCTACTCCCCTTTCGTATCATGCCGCAAGTGTTGCTCATATTCGAAAACATATCAAGAGCGCTTCAGTATCTCGTGTGTGTGGGTGGTGTTACCGGTACTAAAAAAAAAAGGCAGATTTTTTTCTACGTAGGGTAGGTCGGAGAGAACAAAAAAAAATTGACGTGCAATATATATCACGCGAAGTGTGTTCGTGTGCGCGCGGCAGAAAAAAAAACTATCTATTTTTGTTCATATCAAAAGATTCCTCAGCTGAACGTGCAATTAAGTGTATCACACTTGGTGATGTGTTTAATTACAAGGCGTTTATATATTTAAATATCTATAGAGTGCTTACGTTATATATTTCAACAAGGAACTGTCGAAGTGGATGGGCAGACACGATTGCTCGATTCAGTTCGAGTGCATCATCACCATGCTGCACCTTCACGTTCATCCTTACTAAACGTTAAAAGAAAGCCAACTCTCAACTACATCAACTGATGATAGTCCGCCATGCATTATGTGCTCGCGAAGACAAGATCGAAAAAAAAGGCATAGATCTCCCGTGTCAGCCTTACGAGACGCACGGGGCTTGGGGCTGCTAGCGAGCACCTATGAAGGCCGGCACGGTACACGAGGGGGTGGGTGACCAAGACACACACCTACACACAACGTGCGCGCGTCTGATCTGTTACTTTGGAGGAATAGCAACCGCCACACCGCCTTCGAGATTTATTAGGCAAACGCTCAAGAACACAAATTAGCCCAACAGAGATTCAGTGTTTATATTTTTTTGCCAGTGGCAAGGCTCATTAGCTATCTCGTCTCCCAGCCCAAGGGTTTGTGGGGCCACCGCAACGCTCCCACGAGTCTCTTGCGACGAGGAGCATCGTCAGTAAACCCAGCCCGAGATTGGCCTTGCGTCGTTGCATTTTGAAGAGACGGCGTTCCACCGTCTCGATGCATAGCGCGCAATATCAAGGCCCCCCTCTCCCCTCGCCACCACCCCCCCCCCCCCCCGCGAGTGATGGTAGCGTCAAAAAAGGAGGTCATTACCTGGCGACTGCGTCACGCAACCGAATTTTTTAGGCCGAAAATTGCCACAATTACTTCGGAAGAATCTCTCTCCCGGCCTCTGGCGCCCCGTGCAGGCATTGCTCAGGCAATACCCCCCCCCGCCCCCCCCCCCCCCCCACGATACGGACACCTCAATCAGGTCCATCCACCTCACGAAGACAGAGATGCCCCATATAGCCTGAACAGACTGTTGGGGCTAGCGCAGTTAGCGAGTAGCACCGATAAGGCCGACACGGCACACGAGGGGGTGGGTGGCCAGCAACCACGCCCGGCCGCCTTCGTCTCCCCAGGTGGCGATGATTACGCACCGCACCAGGTACTCATTTGAGGTCGAGTCGACCTAGGGGAGGCCCAGGACCGGTTGAAATAATCGTCACTGGTGTTGGCGGTGAGCGGGAATCAAACTTGGGTCACCAGATTTGTAATGCAGCGTGCTAGCCGCTGCACTACCGCTCCTCAGATAAAAACACACACACACACACGCATGCCGTGTATACACCGCTCCAAATCAGGGTACACCTACACTCCTACCAGACTCTGGCCAGCGATGCGAGGCAGTGCGCGTGCTTGCTTCAGAAATCAATTGCGGATTCAAAACACCGAGGCAGTCCAGCAACTTTACCAGCATCCACCATCAACAAACCCATCCCAACGCCAATCCGTACGAGATCGCTCACAATACCCCCAGAGAGAGAGAGAGAGGCTCTCGATTCCCGCATGAGAACTCTCGACAGTTGGCTGTCAAACCGCTGCAGTCGGAAAGGGCCCCCGCGGCAAGTTCCCCGTTGGCCACAAAACACTCACCGGGCGTGCTGAAAGTGAAGAATCGAAAGTGTGTAAAACTCAAATTGTTGCGCAGACCCTAGGGCGGGTGGGTGGATGGGGGGGGTGCCCGCGTGTTCTGAATCTGGCCCGAGATTGAAACCAATATCATCTCTACGTGTTCCGCAGTCGGGAGAAAAACGAAAAAAGAAATGGGCATTGTTTTTTTTTTCTACCAGGAAATAAAATGTTGTTGTAATCCCTCCCGAAGCAATTATCGTAGGAAGTAGACGACTCGCACAGGGTCTCCCCAGCGGGTGGGTGAGGGGGGGGTCATTGGGCCATGACGTCATAGCATATCACGCTTGCGCTCACCGAAGTTTGCGGTCTATTCCAAAGCACGCGTGGTCTTTGCGATCGATGTAGCGCCGTGGGTTAATCCAGTGGCTATCGTGGCGGCAGCAGCAGCAGCAGCAAAACACAACTTTGGCGCGTTACAGGTATGTACAGTGGGACATGCCGCGTGGCCGCTTCGCAAAGACTTATGGGGGTTTCGGAGTCCCCGAAATGTTTTCTGTCCGTCTCCAAAAAGGCGCCATCCTAAGCGGACTCGGGGGGGGGGGGGGGGGGGGGGGGAGTCTGGGGGTGGACAGAGTTTCTCCCTGCCACCTGAGCGGTCCCCTCATTCCTCAGCTCTCAATGCCTCCGCCTCCCCCCCACGCTTCATTCTTTCTTCGTCGATCAGACGCAGAATTGCTGCATCTATAATTTGCATCTCGGTCCATATTATTTGGATGTTGACCTTCTTTCGCACCGTACGTCGCCAACCGTGCTAATCGGAGGTGGAAGGAGAGCGGGAGAGACAGAGAATCGTGGGAAGGAATGTGAAAAATCATGAGGTAGGTGTGAGAATGTGTGACCGAGATTATCCTGATGAAGACATGACGTCATCACCAGCAATAATCAATCCACTGCTAGATGGAGCCTCCGCCCTCCCCCAAGCCGTCCCCATATTTCACCATCGCGTGTTGCACCAATCCCACCTCAGCACGTGCCGACTTCATCACTCCATCTCCTCTAGACTGCACCCTTCCATTCCGTGGCCGACACTCCGTCGATATTCTTGGACCCATCGATCATCATCCCTTCCATCGATCACCAGGGTGCTGCGGTGGCGAGATAACTACCTCGCCTGGAATTACAGGAGGTCGTGGGTTCGATCCCTACCCCGACGCCTGCATATTTGGAATTTGCATGTTCTCCCCGTGGTCGCGTGGATTTTTCCCCGGGTCCTCTGGGATTTCCCCTCCATATTTAGAAAACACGCGTTTAGTGTATTTGGCTGATATAAATTTCCACGTGATTCTAAGCCCACTTCGTTGAGCTTTGACTTGTGGCTAGGTCACTTCTGAAAAACAGCTATAGAGCTCAGTGGACATTACCTGGTAAAATAAAAAGTTTAGTTGAGATAACAATTCTAGCGGTGCATCCGGCAGAAGCCCGCTTACATTAAAAGGCAATCAAAACTAAAATAGACACTCGGTTTCTAGACAAGACGGACTTGTTTACGATATAAAACGTGGGGGCGGGAGTGGATTCTATCTCAACTTGCAAATCAGACACTACAGTAACCACATTATTATCTTTAGGGTTTACCGCTTGGAAATCAATCGATATTCATGAGCCTCGATTTATTTTTAGATATATATTGCCCCCCTCTAAGCCTTGCGACTTAACCCTAACCACAGCATATAGCCACGCAACCACAATACACGTAGCCTAATGTCGTTCCTACCTCTGCCATAGCTATGGCACGTTCCTCGTAGCCCTGGTGTTGATCAATTCTATAATTGAGTTGTTCTCGGCCGACTTTTTCAGAAATCTGTCCATTACAGTTGTAGCTGAACTGGAGGTGCGTTCCATCTCAGGCCCCTGGTGTATGTATTTATTCTTAGAAGAATGCAGTCGTTTCTCAAACCAGACGCATTGAAACCACCAGTCACTCACTCTTCACCCAGCACACTTTATTTTTGCTTTGTATGAGAAAAAGGTTATCGCGCAGACACACACACAGAAAAATAGGCACTATTTAACAAGGCGTATAGAGTGATACAGATGCAAATACAAAGATCCCCCGTTTAGCCTTTAGCAGTCTGTTGGGGCAAGTGGTGTTAGCGAATTCCTATGAAGGCCGGCACGGCACACAAACGGGGTGGGTGACCAACACCACGCCCGGTCATTTGTCTTTCCTTTGCTGGTGTTTACACACCGCACCAGGTACTCATTTGATGCCGAGTCGACCTAGAGGAGGCCCAGGACCGGTTCCGATAATCGTCACCGGTGTTGATAGTGAGCGGGAATCAAACTCGGGTCTCTGGGTTCATAACTCAGCTTGCTAACCACTACACTACCACTCCCCACGCAACAGACACACACAAACACACACAAACTCTAGCTCTACGTCATCTACACAGATGACGTACATCTAGCTCTGCAGGTATACAATACAAAAGTAGCGTCATACGTGCAAGACGAGACCGATCCAAAACACCCACGGTATTTGTAATGCACGTCGATTCTGACCTGTTGGGTGAGTACAACTTTTAAAGGGGGATGCTCATTCGATACTGACCGCAAGGATGGTATTGGGCGCTCCCCTTGAATGTATAGTGACGCTATGGTCGTGAACCCACCTTTATATTACCCCCAACCCACAGTATTTACCATCAAAGTGCTTGCAATACAGTAATCTCGTCACGAGCCCTCTTAAAATTGGGATCGTCTATAATTTCCTCTATCAAAATCGCGATCGGAGACTTCTTCGACTCTTTTGGCCACGCGCGCGTAACACAGAGAAGGAGGCGGCAGCGGCATTTGTCCCGCTGGGCAATGAACTTCAAGGAGGAGGGGGGCGGGGGAGAAGACGACGCAGGAGGAGGAGGAGGAGGCCGACGACAAAACTTTGATTTTTACCCCCACCTTGAATATCGTGGATTAAAAAAAAAGGCTTTTGCAAGGGACTTGTATCCTCATACCTTTTAACTGTGGCTTCGCACACGTTTTTCGTGAC